ATATTTTCTTACAGATAACTTCATTCTTTGTGGCAGAATAAAACTGTTAGTGTATATATGCACCCCACTTTCTTTGTCCAATCATTTGTTTTCAGACCTGTTGGCTGATAGCATAGCTTGCCTTTGTGAATATTGTTGAAACATAGACTATAAGAATCGATGTGGCATTGTTGATTTAGAGTCCTTTAGGTACATACCTAGGGATGGCATAACTGTGTCATTGCCATGTGGAAGTTGTACTTCTAGTTTTTGAGAACTCTGTACACCGATTTCCATAGCAGATAGACTACTTATGTTTTCACCAGCAGTACATAGGGTCCTCACATCCTCACCAGCATGTTCTGGCTCTCTCTCTCTCTCTTTTTCATAATAGCCATTCTGACTGGGATGACATGAAATCTTAGTGTAGTTTGATTTGGATTTCCCTGATGGCTGACAATGAACATTTCTCGTTCATGTTTATTGGCCATTTCTTTGTTTTGAGAACTGCTTATTCATTTCATTAGTCCATTTGATTGGTTTGCTTGGCTTTTGGTATTTAATTTTTTTGTGGTATTCAATTTTTTAGTATGTATGTATGTATGTATGTATGTATGTATGTATGTATGTATATCCTCTTGTCATTAGTGTTTGTCAACTTATAGCTGGCAGATTCTTGCCCTGCTCTCTAGACTGTCTGCTCACTTATTTGTTCCTTTTGCGGTGCTGAAGTTTTGTAAATTCATGCTAACCTGTTTATCACTTCTTGGCTTCATTTCCTGATATAGAACTCCTTTTCAGAGAATCCTCTATGTATTGGAGTATTTTTCCTATGTTTTCTTCTAGCTGTTTCAAGTGTTTCATTATGATACTTGATATACCTTTAATTGATGGTAGATAAAGGAGAAATGTTGATCTATTTTTATTTTTCTACACATGGGCATCCATTTTCCAGCACTATTTGTTGAAGGAGATATCTTTTTCTCTAGTGTATATTTTTGGAATCTTTGTCAAAAGTCAAATGGCTTTAGCTGTTTCAGGGGCATTTTTTTATTGCATTGATCTGTTTTGTTTCCTTGGCTTTCTAGTGTAACTTGAAGTTGGGTACGGTAATATCTCCAGCATTGTTCTCTTTGCTCAGTATTGCTTTGTTCTTTGGGATCCTTTGAAACATAGACTATAAGAATCACCGTGGCATGTTATTTAGAGTCTTTTAGGTATGTATCTAAGGGATGGTATAAAATTCATATAAATTTTAACACTTTAGTTTTCTATTTTTTTGTAAGATGTCATTGGGATGGTAATGGGGGTTGCATTGAATCTATGTTTCTTTCGGTTGTATGGTCATATTAATTCTAATCCATGAGTGTAAGTCCTTTTCACCCTTTTGGTGTCTTCTTCTATTTCTATCTTGAGTATTTTTAATAATTTCAGTGTAGAGGTCTTTCACTTTTATGGCTAGCTTTATTCATTGATAGGTTTCTGTTTTGCTTTAAAACTATTGTGAATGGGACTGCTTACTTAAGCCCATTCTTGCCAAGTTCATTATTGGGGGATAAGAAAGCTACTAATTTTTATATGTTAATTTTGTGTCCTAGTATTTCAAAGGGTTTATTAGTTCTAAAAATCTGGTGGAGTTTATAGTCTCTGACATAGAATTATACTGTGCAAATAAAGGTACTTTAACTTCTTTTTTATTTGTTTCCATCTGTTATCGCTCTAGTTGAGACTAAAAGAACTATAGGAAATAGGAGTAGAGAAAATAGCCATTGTTTCTCTTCTTGGTTTAGTGAAAATTCTTTGATTTTTTTTTTTTTCCTGCTCACCAAAGTGTTGATTATAGGTGTTGTACATGCCCCCTTTGCTACAATTCTTAGATTCTTCGGGGCTTTTATCTTGAGGGGATGCCCTATCATCTCCTACCAAAGGCCTTTTCTACATCTGTTGATACAAGATGATTTCTGATCTTTGTGTAATACTATGAGGTATTCATGACTCAAGTCATGATGAATATTTTTTCCATTTTATGTGCATGAGTTTTTTTGCCTATATCCATGTCTGTACTCCCATCTGTATGCCATTGGAGGTTTGAAAGCCTTGAATCCCTAGAAACTGGAGTGACAGATGAGCCACTGTGGATGCTAGGACATGAACCTGGATCCTCTAAAAGACCAAACAGTGCTCTTTATTGTTGAGCCATCTCTCCAGCTTCATGACTGATCTTTTTGGTGTGTTCTTGAATTTGATTCACCAGTATTTTCTTGAACACAGTTACATCAGTGTTCATCGGGGATAAAGGCCTATAATTTTCTTTTTTGCTTTATCCACTTTGGGTACTAGGGTAATAATACTAGCCTAAAATTAATGTGGTTAATTCCTTCCCTTTCTATTTTATGGAATGTTTTGAGGAATGCTAGTGTTAGTTTTCTTTAAAAGGCTGGTGGCACTTATTAGTGAGTTCATTTAAACCTTTTTTAAAAATGGACAACATTGGTTACTGTTTTAATCTACTAAAAGTTGTTTATATCCTCTTGGTATAATTTTGGTATGGTGGTAAAAAGAGTATTGGTTTAAACAGGCTTGCGTTTTCATTGAAATAAACTTGAAAGACATGATCAGAAAAAACATCAAGTAAGAAATGTTCTTCATTGGTGGTGACAATATTAAAAATAAGATCGTGAGAAGGGCAAGGAAGTGAGGAGCTGTGGCATTGTTTCTCATCCATATGAATACTATGAATTAAGTCCTCTAAGCTGAAGTCTTAAGTGAATGAAACACAACCAAGAGCATGTAGTAAGAAACTCAGAAAGGTCACAAAGGTGAACAGGGTGTCTGTCAGAACAGGAATACTTTTACTGATTGGCTTCAGAAGAAATAACATTTTCCCACCTTATTGGATTTCAGTTATATCAAGATATGAAGAGTTAAAACTATAAGAAACTGAAAGCAATTAAACAGAAGCTCAGACCAGACCTGAAGAAGTCTGAGACGGGGTTGGGATTTAATTCAAACAAGGAAAAATCCAATTGAGTATTCTGATGAGAATTTGGATAAAAAATAGGTGATTGTAAAGTTTTCAGTTTGTTAACAAAGACTAAGGTGAATGATCTCATCAGTAATGCAGTTAGCCTTAATGACTCTCAGTAAGATGGGCATTACTACTACTGTCATCTTCATAGTGATGTAGCAGCTGTAAAGTTCTCTAGTTAGAGTCAGTAAGTAATAAGCATATAATTTTTTCAAGTTACATGGAAAATACATGGCAAGTCTCTTCCCTTTTTTAGCAAAGTAGCAAATTTGATTTTATTTGAGTACATCAGACTCAAAGCCAGACCTAAAAAACAGTACTTTGATATTTACATATTCAACACCAAATTAAAAATGAACATATTTTATTAATATGTCTCTGTCCTTTATGAAGCAGTACAAACATAATGTTGCTTGAAACAGAGATCTCTTTGGGGTATTTGCAAATAATCCATTGTCGTCTGTTATTCAACTTAGCATTCCCTAAATTAAGTGTTTACTAATAAATCAGAGATGCCTCTGAACTTAATCTAATGGGGAAGTCATGATATAAATGCTAAAATCAAAATACAGAGCTATGTAAGATACTGTAGGAAAACTTCTTAGGAGCTCTAGCATTTAGGATGATTGTTGTGAGACTTTCACATGCAAGGATATTCTAGGCCAAAGAGAGACAAAGGACATGACTATAGAAAAGTGTGTATTCTGTTAAAAAGTACGAAGTAAGGTGATACTAGCTTTCCATCTATCATCCTACATCTTCTGCAGCTTTAGCAGCAAAGGGTTTCTAAGAGTGGTGTAAGCTAGTGTATCTTTTTAGCAGAGTGACTCAGGCAGTGATGTAAAGCAACATAGGGAGTGAAGAAAGAGGATGCAAAGTGAGCAGAGCAACAAATACTTAACGGTCCACATGAGACAGGAAAGTATACACAAAGGTATAGTGACAACAAAAATGATCAGGGAGAAAAATAGATTTAGTGGAATGACAAAATTTGGCAAAGGATGTGTGCAGGACTGTTTTGGTTTTTTGTTATTGTTGTTTTCCTGACCTCAATTACCATTAAGAGGCTTTTTCTTGGGAGCATAGTTTAAAATGAAAGGCAACCAATATGAAGTCTAAATTGCTGCCGTAAATATATTTAAGATTTTTAGTATGAAGAAACTTGTATGTTAATGAAATTGGCTGCCTTTTTCTAAAGATTCTTAATTATCAGCTTTCCTAACTTGCACAGGCGGTGGGGCCAGACAGATGAGAAGTGTTTACAAAAAAATGAAAGAACAGACAGGTTTTGACTGCTTCCTGGATGTTTCACTAAGCTGCCAAAACCATGAATACTTGAGTCTAATGAAATTAGTTAGTAGTATATTTTAGAAATTGAATATTATTCTGTTTTACTATTTTTCATCATTCAGTCTCAAAAAGGAATTGATCTTGGAAGGGCTAGAAAATGGTCAGTTTATAGATTGCAGTCTAATATGGTGAGATTATTTAAGGAGACAAATGTATGTTATCTATTCATTGACTGTCTCTACTCAGAACGTAACTTCCATGAGAGAAGGGACTTAGGATTTTCATCACTGTTACCAGTTGCTGGAACATCTTACACAAAAAATTTCTCAGAAAATAAATAATGAATGAATAAATGGATGATATTGATTCTTAACCTAAGAAAAGTTATGGAGACTCATGACCTATGACACAGGAATAGCAAAAGAAAACCCATTTTCTAACCCAGTCTATAAATATTTATATTGTTATTCCATTATTCTTTGGCAAATATAGAGATATTTTATGTCTTAAAGTTGAATAGATTCTTCTGTGAAATTTAGATGTGTTAACCTGCTAATTATTATATTAAATTGCTAGGATACCTTTGGCAAAATTTTTACATACATAATATTCAGGTTTCATGTTCTGTTATCAAATACTGTATTAGAAATCTCTTCAGTTTATTTTATTGAAAACGTCTGATTTTGTTTTTGTTTTTGTTCAGTTTTAATCGCTTGGATCTACCACCATATAAGAGTTATGAACAACTAAAGGAAAAACTTCTTTTTGCAATAGAAGAGACAGAGGGATTTGGACAAGAATGAATGTGGCTTCTTGTCTTGGAGGAGCTCTTGCATTTGGATAACACAGCCAAGAAAAATTGCACAGATAGTGTATATAAGCTGTTCATTCTGTACAGATAATTTTCTGATTCTCTCAAAGTATAAATGGTTTCCGTTCTTCCACAGAAATATGCAAAACATTTCATCATTTTCTACTTTATTTATTGTTCCCTTGAAATGACTGACCAGGAAAAAAGATCATCCTCAAATTTTGAAGCAAGCAAGAGAATTTATTAAGAAGTATATATCTATATAGGCATATGACAGTGGCTCTAGTTTTATAGAGCGCCAAGTGTATTAGACATGGCAGCCATTCATTCACAAAGCTCTGGATTTGCTTTGCCTTGTTCCTGTTGTCCAGGGGAAAGTGCAAATGTTCCATTTCTTCTCCCTAGGTGATATCTGATTGTTTTTAGTTGCATGGCTGTTCAGGAAGGTATTTAGGGCTTAGGCCAACTCTTACTTTAAGTGTATTTTTAAAATGCTGCTGGCTTTTCTGAAAACAAGTACTTCAACTTAGAGTTCTAAATGAATAGATAAAAAAATTTCCCATCATTGTTATATCAATAAATACGAAAGTCATGTAGGAGATCCAGTAGTGTCTAGGAGCAGCTGGAATTGATTTGCTGAGAAGCAGAGGTCTATTTACATGTTACTTTACGATGCTGGGTATTTGTGGAATTTCAAAGAATCAGGCATTTCTGTACTTAACCTTTTTAAAACTTGTAATGTTCTTCAAGTTTAATTAATAATTGATAGTTTAATACTTAGGGGTATAATAAAGGGTACTGAACTTTGATGCTTTTGTGCTCAAGGTTTAGTTTTATGAAATTAGAAATGTAATTAAACTAAATGGATTGAAAAGTTGCGTTAAGTATTTGAACACTCACACTAAGAACTTTCTGTTAGTGTTTGAATATCCCCCTTCCTTTAAAATTCATGAAAATTGTTTCTAAATTTAGTAAGTACATAAAAAATCCTTGTGCCCCTATTTTATATAGTTCAACTTTTCTCCAAATAACACTGATTTTCATTATAAGGGCATTCATGGTGTATGAAAAAATTAAAATCTAATGTGAATGATATTGCTACTTTTAGCAAACTGGGCTTCCTAATTAATAAAAAAATTATTTTCCATTTTTATCCTTTCAATATGCACTGCGAAGTTCATATACTTAAAATTTTATAACTATGAAATTCACTTAGAATTACAACTTCTATTCACTAGTTTAGTTTTGCCAAGATTTTATTTTTCTACATATTTAGATTATGTTCTTCAGTTTTATTCAAAAAACAATAAAAGCAGTAATTTACTTAGTTGGGTAAACTACAGAAAATCTGGTTATTTTCAGGCTTAAAGATTTTTTGTTTTATTCCTAATATATGGCAAGTTATATAGTAGAAGATGGCCAGTCTTCAAAAGTACTGCATAAATTATTCTGTAAAATAATAAACTTGCTATGACCCAAAGTATTGGCTTTCATTCAGTGGAGATATTTGAGACATCATTTTGTGGATATGATTCAAGGTGCTGTCAGGTAGGATTTCAGGGAGCTGGTCCTTTTTGTTACATCACACAGCCTACAAAAACAAACCAGTTTTCTGGGGAAAACTAGTTTGCAGACCTCATCAGGCTCTTCTATCTTTCATAGCCAGTTATATTTGTAAGACATACAGGCTTGCCTTATCTTCTCAGTAGTGAACATAAAAGTCAGAAATGTGTTCTCCTCCTGCCTTCTTCTATCCTTCCCATCCCTATTCTGAACTGGACCCATGACACAGTCATGAGAAAATGGGAGATGAGGGAAACTTAGTGACAGGTTAATGATACTTTTTAATAGTGACAGTTCCCAACATCACCAAGCAATTGAGCCTAGGGAATGGCTTAAAACAATTTTATCAATCAGCTCAGCCATCTATCTTTGCGGAAACAAATTACTATTTGTTTTTTTTTTATCATTTTTTCTATACTTCCTAAGCAGTTGAAAATGAAAATGTAACTGTTTCCCCAGCTGACTTCAATTATCTGCCTAGTTCTCCAAAAAAAACTAAATAAGGTGTTGTATATCTATCATTTCATTGCAGACGACCTTGCTAATGCATGGGGTTGAAAAAGACCCTAATTAGTAAGCTGCTTCTGAACTGAAAAAGCACATGTTATCAGGGAACAATAACTGGGGTTTCCCTGAATCTGAAAACTCTTTCAGTCATATGCACTGAGCTATCACTTTAGGAGACTCTGGTTCTTGGAGAACCATGTAGATACTCCTGCTACATTAATGCTACATGTTCATTTTCTGAAATGAGGCCTAACCTTATCCTGTGGCTAGTCATGTTCCCTACACTACAGTATTCTGAGTAAACTGAAACAAATGCAGATTGTAGGCTTCTTGAGTTTTAACATTTAATTAAACATTAACATGATCTAGTAAACACTGAAAAAGCAAAACAAAACAGTTGTTGGAACAGGAAATAAAAGTTCTAATATAACATGCCCTACTTCTTAATCTGTCAAACATAGAAATCAAGTTTCACATCAACTGGGAATTTGACATAAGTCTAAAAGTACTATTTTCTAAATTCTTAAAAGCTCTACTCCAAAATTCAACCAAGGAGAATGCAATTGAAATGATGATAGCATTTTTTTTAAGTACTAATTCTATGCCTTTCCCATGAACTATTCTCTTGGTCCTTGTTAAGGATGAGACAAATCTGACAAGCTATGTTGTACCATCCATTGCTTGTTGATGATCTACACTGGGAATATTTTGTCATCAAGAAGTGACAAGTTCACTACCAATATGAGGGAAAAGAAGACAACCAAATAACCAGCTTTCCCCTGCTGTGCTCAGAGGCCTAGGTTCCCCTATTCACTGCACTACCAATAAACAAATCCAAATTCAGGTTTCATACAATCCTAAAGGTAGAAGACACACTTAAGGAGAGGGAAATCACCCATTGCCTGTATCTGTAATATGTTTAGTATATAGAATACAACAAACTCTGTATGGGGAAATTAGCTTTTTCAAATAAAATGAGGACTGGAATGCACACAAAAACAGAGATAGGAATTTTACAAGAAGGTGAAATAATGGCATTAAAGGGAGCATGTGCTGGCTGAGTAGTGGTCTCATCCTTGGGCACACATCAAGAACCAAGGTGATACCTTATGAATAAGGCTCTTGGAAGTGAAAACAAGGACTTAGAAAATACACAGAATTTGTGTCCTGGTCATTTTTCCCATGAAGGAAAATAAGTATACATAAAACTTAGGTCATATTTACAATTAGCATATATTCACTATACAAAATAATGGGTTTCACTGTGATATTTTCACATGTGCTCTGACATGTCCAGCCCACCATAATCTCCTTCCTCTTCCCAAGTAATCTGCCTTCTACTTTCATGTCATTTGTTTGTTTGTTTGTTTGTTTAATTTGGATCCACATGCAGTATCCATGTGAGCTTCTATAGGCTTTACAAGATCATCTTCAGTTCCATCCTTTTGGCAGCAAATGAGGTAATTTCACTTTTTATGGCTGAATAAAAACTGGTTTGTTAATATGTACATTTTCTTTGTCTACCTGATAGATATCTACATTGATTTCATAACTTGTCTGTAAACTATGCCACAATAAGCATGAATGTAAAACACCTTTAGTTTTAATAGCCAGAAATTTTAAAAAAACTAAATACCTTCAATAGATGGATAAAATGGTATATCCACATAATAAAACAGTAACAATAAAAGGAAGAACTAATGATTTAACTTAGCTATTATAAGAGGATCTGGCTAAATGAAATGGCACAATTACAAAAGGTTATATTCTAGAAGATTGCATTTGCCTGAGTCTTGATATGACAGATTTTTAGTGTTTTAGTTGTAGGGTGTGTCAGGGATGGTTGAGGGACTGAACATGGCTGGGTATGACTATACGGAGCACTAGATGTCCGAGTAAAGCAATCTGTATCTTGCCCGTGGTGGTAGTTATAAAAATTTGGGTAGTAGTTACTAAGAACTAGATATAAAGTGAGAACATCTAAAAGTCATAAAATTTAAATTAAGGTCTACAAATACCAGTATGTTTCTTAGTTTGGTATTATACCATCGTTATATGTGACCCAAGGGCAAACAGGAAGAAGGGTATTCAGAACCTGCTTGTACTACATTATGTAATTTCTTGTGAATCTTTTATTATTTTAATAATAAATAATTTAATATTATTTTATTATTTTAATAAAAAAGGTCTATAAAGCATCCAAAGGTAGATCCTCCAGTCCATAAAAGCCTTTACTGGAAAATACCTCATTCATTTCACAAAAAGAACTTTTTTGTGTGTGAATAAAAAACCCAAAGAAACAGCAAGGATTCATATATGGTAAAAGACCTGGATATAATGTAAAAAATTTTAATTCTTTAGCATAATATACTAATGTGAAGATGAAAAGTAGCTATAGTTCCTAACTAGATAATTAACCAAGATGAAATGGCTGCAAAACTAACCCCAAAAACCTGCAAATGAAGACAATTATCATATGTTTTTAAATAATACAAATATCCTAAAGCAAAACAAAGTGTATCAAAATGGAAATGAACTTAGAAAATGAAACAGAAGTTAATTTCAAAGTGATGAATATGAAAACCAAAGAAGACTAAATATAATTAATTGGAGTCCAGAAGACAAGATGGAACATGATTCCCAGAGGTTGATCTGGAATGAAGGACAGTTGATAATAACAACTAGATTGGCCTCTCCAAAAAGTCTGTGTTGTAAGACTAAAACCAACTGCCGCAAATCAAATTCTGTTCTCAAAAAGCACAAGTTTATTTGGACAGTTAAGGAAATCTGAGTATGTCTTGTTATGAGGTAATATAACAGGTGTGGTAATGTATTTGTTTTGGAAAATGTACTTATTCTGAAGAGCAGCTAAGATACTTAAGGGTATGATAATATCTGTAATTTCAAGCGTTTAAAAATCCATTATATATGAATAAATATATACATATAAATAGGATATATCAAAATATTAGCTTAAACTCAAGCACAGGATGTACTTCTAATGTTTGTTTGAAAATTTATGTGGTAAAACAGGAACAGCATGAACCTACACATTTTGTTGTAATTTATTAAAACATTACAATTCTCATGTCTTTTGGGGAAAAAAATATACCTATACAATCTCACATTTGTTCAGTGTAAGTGGCATCCAAGCTTCAGTTTGCAAAATGTAAGTTTGCCATGGTGGTGCCTCAGACTCAAGTGATAGTACCCTGCCTGTTAAATACATCTATTTCCTTCTCACCCTGAAATCTGTGTCCCGTCCCTCCATTCTATACAGGATTACAATTTGTCAAGTGACAAATTCAACCAAACCATGAAGCTATAACACATTTAAAAAGGAAAGTCATTCCATAGTATTTTTCCTTATTTAGGTTGGCTTCTAAGATGTATTACTTAAGTTCCATGCCAAGAACCCTTAACATCATAAACACCTAACTCATTTGACCTTTTCTCTAAGATAACAACATTCAGTCAATTACAACATGAAAACCATTCCCTCATATGCTATCTGTTCTCAGAGCCTTCTTTTGAAAACCTCTCATCCTGATGTGATCAATTACTTACATATCCCATACCATTTTTTCCTATTGATGTTCCAAATAAGAAATGTCTGTCTGAACCAGAGAATATATTGCTGCCCCTCTTAGGGCAATGTGGTAATTTCTTTTACCCATTTACTTGTGAAGAAACCCAGAATTTTGTACATTTATGTGAAATGGTCACACATAAAAAATTGAAGAAGAAAAAAGCCACAGAATCATGGTTAATATATATATCTTTATAAATCAATGAAATGTAAAGTGTTAGGTACATTGTTGCCTTCTCCATAAAGTTCTCAGTTCTGTCACAAACCTGTAAGCAACTGAGCAGCTTCTGTCTGTATCTAAAGTGAAAAAACAAAACAAAGCAAGAACACATTACACATAAATAGTGCAGCGTAACTTACAAACTGAAGTTGATAAAGTAGACTGGTTTCTAAGAGTTTCAACATAAAAAAGACAGGACATGGTAAGAGTAAGGTCTTTTGATAGTGATTAGATAATACTCCAAGAGAACTCTAGTTCATACCCCCTAACTTTCCATCCTGCCCCCAACCCCACTCTACCACAGTGTCAGAAACTGAACCAGGTCTTTGTGCATGATAGGTAAGATCTATGGCTGAGCTGACTTTCATGTTTTAGAAATCACATCTGATCTCAAATAGATGTACATCAGTTCTACATTGCAGCAAGCAACTTACAACATTTGGTAACAGTACCTAAAGAGTTTTAATGTTTAAATATAAAGGTAAATATACAAATGGGCACTTGTTCTTTCCACAGTTCTATGCGTTTAAACAATTATGCTTTTAAAGAAGTTCTCAGTTCATTTATTTCCTAATGTCTCAATGAAAGCCTATCTGCCTTACTTTATTACAGATATTTTACCTGTTTATCTTCTTCTGTGTGTGCTGGATAACCCTTGGCTTTTACCAGCCAGAAAGCAGCAAGCTTTTTGTTGTTTAGCTTCAAGTATGTCTTTCCTAACAGCAGCAAGTTTTTGCTGTAGAAGTTTGGATCCACTGTACATAAGGAGGAGAAACAAAGTCAGCTCCAGAGAAATAATGTTTTATTTTTATAGGTTTAAATTTTTTGGTCTAAATTCTAATAAAATTGTGTTGTTAAACAATGATTAGGCCAATACAATTCTTTTGTTCAAATGTTATCTTAAAAAACCCTAAAATAATTATGATGTTGAATATACTTATAGGCTCTGTATATTACTATACTAAGGTCTTATTTCAAGAATTTATTGTACAGTATCTTCATGCTGATAGAACATGAGCTATATAAGAACCATTTTCTTTTTAAACCACCCATCCTTATTGTATTCCGGTTGCCCAGAAAAGTATAGGGAAAGTAACATACTTAAATGTATCTGTTCAGTGAGTGAAAGAATGCATGAATGAAATCATGATTAACATAAATTTGAGAAAGAATGCATGAATGAAATCATGATTAGCATAAATTTGATCAATCTGCTAAATGTCTCCTATATTTAGGCACAGAGAAGGAAACAAGAACACAACTAGATGCTGCATGTGCTACAAGAAGCCAGATTAAAAAAAAAAAAAAAAAAAAACTAAGGGATAAGCATCTTAGAGGATGAACAAGATTTTACCAGATAAAATACAGAATGTTTTTGGTTGAAAGAAAAGTGCAGACAGAGCCTAGCACTGTGAGAGTAGAGTAGTGGTTATCAGAAGTGGGGAAGGGGAATATTTTTAATAATTTACTATATATTTTTAGAAGACTTACAAGACTCCAGTATTTCCTAATACAGAGATGACATATACTTGAGATGGAGATAACTGCTTTGATTTGAACGTGTATGAATATACTGAATTACCAATGCTCCATAAATATGTACAATTATATGCTAAATAAAAATATTTTTTAAGAAGGCTATGAATACAAGTATAAAAGAATCCTCTCACTAACTTGTTTTTTTTTTTTTGTTTTTGAGAAAGTCTAAGTGGGCCTGGAACTTAATAATTCATTGTAAGGCAATGTCACAGTACCTCAACCTCTGAAGTGCTGGTGACAACAGGCATGCACCACCACACTCAGCTCTAACTTCATATAGTTTTCTCCTAATAATCTTGTCCTCTCTGTATTCCAAGCATGCTTTCTGAGGCCAGGGATGGAGCTTGGTAACAGAACACATGCTTAACACATAGCAGGCTCCAGTTTTAAAAAAGAACAAAGCCTCCTTTTTCCTGGATATAATTTATGATTAACTGCATTTGCTTAAAACTCAGTCATTTAAATTCTTTGACTTAAACATTTTGAAGTTACGTGTGGTGATTTATCCACCTATTTCCTCATCCAGAAAGTCAGCCAGCTATGATATGTGAAGCAATGGAAATGTAATCATGAGCAAAAAAGAAAAGTAACTCATCTACCATACACACAGCCTTACACACCCAAACAGCAGAATAAGGAGGCCCAGGTGGAAGGTGTGAATGACACACAACATGGCAGGGGCTTCTGGACTAGAATTAGCTATGCTTCT